TAGGAACTGGACACACACTTTTTAAAAGGCACTGAGCGACCCCTGCTGGGTGAAAAGGGGCATTGACACTAGGAAAACTAGTGAGACTGATTTTTCTGGGGCAATGACATTATTTTGGTAATTAAACAGGAATATCTAATGTTTCATGTATCTAAGATCCCTAATAAAAATTATCTCAATTCTGCTTCCATTCTAGAAATAAGACAAATGAGAAAATTCTAAAAAATCGGATGAGATTTTCTAGGGCACTGATGTGGCCTTTGGAAGGACATAGTTTAGGAATGTGACAGTCTGGGTTTGAAGTCACCTGTTATTCGCGTGACTTGCATAAGGCTTTTAGCCTGCAACAAGCTGATTTTCACTTGAAATGACATCAGATTTTTGAATTTTCTGTTCAAAGGACAGTGACATCCAGCTAAAAAGAGAAGTCAAGGCTGGAGATCCTTGAGCCACGAAAGTGTTCCATCTATCCCAGCTGCCACCATTATTATACCATGAAGGGGTGGGTCTAAGCTGGGCTTCAGATGATGGACAGCTCCTGCCACTGTTACTATACCATGAAGGGGTGGGTCTAAACTGGGCTTTGGATGACGGACAGCTCCTGGACTCTTGTTTTCTCAGGGATAGAGGTTGTAGCCGCAGGCTTGCGTTTTGCTCAGAGAATTCAGTCCTGGATTATAAAACAGGGCTCACACTGTGTGTGAGCCTCTTTAGAGCCATACAGCTATAATACAGAGTTCTCACTGCAGGAAATACTGTGCAGTGAGCAAGCCTGGACAAGGTCCACCTGGAAGAGCTATCCTACCTCCACCTTTGCTGGTCCAAGGCACCAGAATCTCTTTCAGTGTAAAGCTCTTTTGTTTTTGCACTTCCTGTCTATGAAATCCATACAACGGGGGGACTTATATTAAAAAAACAAACAACAACAAAAACCAAAACTGGGTGATTATGTCCCACATCTTTAATCCCAGCATTTGGTGAGTTGGACACCAGCCTGGTCTGCAGAGCTAGTTCCAGGACAAGGGTTGTACAGAGAAACCCGTCTCAAAAAAGCAAAATAAAACCAAACAACCAAGTAGTGCCCTAGCTCTGGTTAAACCTTTCAGTGACTCAGGAAAATGTTGAGAAGCCTTTTGCCCACCCAGGCCCCTTGCTTGTACACTAGTTCCACTTTGGGGCTTTGGACAGTTTTCTCTCTACCATCACTAGTCACCTCTCACGTGTCCCCTGTCCATTCGGCTCGTGTGTCACGTGTTAGTGCACAAACTCAAGGCGGGTATAAGAAATGTCACATTTTCATTAAAGCAAACGAAATCTTTGAGTCTACTTTGCTGTGCCTCAGCAATACCCCTTTCCCTACTTTCTTTCACTCATTCTCTAGCCACTGAATGTAGCCGAGCCACTGAGTGTTGAAGGTACCCAGCTCATGTTCTCTGGAGTGCTGTGTTTATACTGTCTCCCAGGGATGGCTGGATGCTGACAATTGACAATTCACTGACAATTCATAGCAGTACATATGCCCCCAAAGTGAGACGCTGAGCGAAAACATTTCTCTCTCTCTCTCTTTTGGATTTTCAAGACAGGGATTCTCTGTAGCTTTAGAACCTGTCCTCAAACTAGCTCTTGTAAACTAGGCTGGCCTTGAACTCAGAGATCCACCTGCCTCAGCCTCTTGAGTTCTGGGATTAAAGGTGTGCACCGCCATCGCAGGGCTATGAAAGCATTTCTTGCTTGGCTCTCTCTGGTCTGCCCCACTTCTTCGAGGCTTCTGGAAGCCTCTTGATTCATCACACTTGCACAGGAAACCTCACCACAGGCTCTGTTCTAGGGACCCAAACTCAGTCACGCCCTTTATCCTTTCTAGATAAGTCCAATTTGAATCTAGTTTCTACAGCTATTAGTTTAATATTTATCCCAAATATCCCTAAGTAAACAAAGATCCCATGGAAATGGACCTTTTTTCATTCATCTCACTATGTAGCCCTGGGACTTGCTAGGTAGACCTGATTTGTTTCACACTCACACAAATCCACTGGCTTCTGCCTTCTGAGTGCTGGGATTAAAGATGCCTGACTCCCTGCCTTTTTATTTTATTGCAATATTTCTAGCACTAAGTATAGAGAATAGGTCACTTCTTTCTCTTAGAGAGACCGAGAAGAGCCAGAGAGCTACCACTGTGGCGGGAAGTGTATACCAGGGAACTTAGAATGTCGGAATCATGCTTCTTGGTGGTAGCAAGCCCAGGTGGATTCTGAAATCTGGGTGAGAAGATATGGTGAGGGCATATTCGGGCTTATAAAGTCACTTAGGATGAAAGTCAGGGCAGGAGCGTACATAGTTTTCTTAAGATGATATGCAAGGGTCGGGTCCATCCTGGGAGTCAGGGTCTAGGTATAAAGCTCCAGATGACTAACGGTTTTATCTAGTTACAGTTTGCTAGAAAGCCTTGCAGGAAAAACCAGCTAGGGTGCAGCCATGGTGGCCATGACTCAAGATGACTCCAGCAGTGTCAATCTGAACCCAGGCATAAAATGGAGAAGGTGGCAGACACCGAGGGTCACAGAGCCTCTTAACCTCTCTAGCAATAGTCACTTTCTCCTCTGGGTGTTTGGGAAAGAAAGCCACCCTACAGCCCCAGTTTGCCTTCTCTTGTTTAGTCCCCTCAAATTCCAAAGTCAGAGTTAACAGTCTCTGACTGGTCCTGTTTAGGTCACTTGATTGGACACAATGAATCACAATTCTGTTTTTATCAGGTCAAGCTGGCCAGTCAGGACATTCCTGGGCATGGAGTCCCTACTTAGATAAGAGCCAGAAGCCAATCAGACAAATCAAAAGGGGTCTTATCGAGATAATATCCTATTTCAGTCAAAATCAAGGCAATACTCCAATTTTACTGGTGCTCCAATATTCCCAAGAAAGACTAGGTGCCAGGTCCGAAAGGAACTCAGACAAATAGCTCTCTAAGGTCCTATTAGCATCCCAAAGCATATGCTGACTTCCAGGCTCCCTTGTATCACACATGCCTGTGGCTCTTCCCACCCTGCCCCTACCCTAAACTTCAGCTCACAGGCTTCTCGTTCTTTAGAACCTTAGTATTTGGCCCATGCTTCTCTTTTGCCTCTGCCTCTCTCTCTCTCTCTGTTGTCTACTTCTCTTCCTCTCTCGCTTTCCTCTCTCTTCTCTCACAATCAATTACAGCTTCCAGACCATGATCAGGTTAATATTTCTCTCTCTACCCTGGACTCTTCCAGGTGCCTCCGGCTCTTCTCTCCCTCACATCTACAGTAAAAATCTCCCCTTCAACCATACCTTGGAGTGGTCATGTCCTCAGTTTATATGCCTGATGTTGAAACCCTCCATTTATACACTGGATTTTATTTATTTTTTTTTTCAAGATGATTCTCTTCTACTAGGTTGTCTCTAGTTACAGAAGGGGTGTATGGTGCTGTGGGGTCTTTCTTCTGATGATGACTCGCAGGCAGGGCAGGTGAGTCTGCATGCCTGTGGGGCACAGGAAAGTTGCGGCAACCAGCTTTCCAGGTGACGTCGTATTGTTTCCTCTGGCTGGCGAGGGGTGAACAGAGATAAGTCTGGTGGCGAAATACACATGAGTGTTTTGGCAAGTCACAGATCCTTTTTTTTTTAAAATATTTATTTATTTGTTTGTTTATTTATTATGTATACAATATTCTGTCTGTGTGTATGCCTGCAGGCCAGAAGAGGACACCAGACCCCATTACAGATGGTTGTGAGCCACCATGTGGTTGCTGGGAATTGAACTCAGGACCTTTGGAAGAGCAGGCAATGCTCTTAACCTCTGAGCCATCTCTCCAGCCCCTCACAGATCCTTTTTTAAATAAGATTTATTTTTATGTGTATGAGCATCTTGTCTACGTGTGCATATGCACCTCACATGTGCAGCCCTCAGAGGCCAGAAGAGGGGACGGGAACCCCGGGAATTGCGGTCACAGACAGGTGTGAGCTAATATGTGGACACCAGGAATTGAACCCAGGTCTTCTGCAAGAGCATCAAGTGCTCTTAACTACCTGAGCTTCTCCAGCCTCTCTCCAGCCTCAAGAAGTTCTTAGTAGGCAACAACATAGTACTGGCTTCTGGATCCATAGCATTTCCTATTTGAAGGGGCTCTAAGATATGAGATGCCATTACTATCCTGAATAAAAGGAGCACTCCATTCAAACAGAGACCCTTCCGGTAGCCCAGTGGTAACAACCAGACAGGGAGCAGAGGTAACTAATGGCTAACTGGGATAACAAGCACACACCACTGGGCAACCAAACCCAGTGCTTACTGGAGTTTTAGGGATCAAACTTAGGCGCTGACTAAACCATCCCCTAGCTCCTCAGAGTTAACTTTTAGTCTGTACATTTAGGCAAGGTCTGAAAATAGCCTGGGAACCTTAGGAATGCCAGCCATCAGTGAGTGGGTATCTGTCTGAAGCACACACACCTGCAGGTTACCTCCACTCAGAATGCTTCTCAGGCGTGGGCACACAGGTCTGAGATTCCCTTCATGTCTGGCTTCCTCTTTGCCTTTCCCACTTGTATTTTCTTTTTTTTTTTTTTAAATATTTATTTTTTTATTTATTTTGTATACAAGATTCTGTCCATGTGTATGCCTGAAGGCCAGAAGAGGGCACCAGACCTCATTACAGATGGTTGTGATCCACCATGTGGTTGCTGGGAATTGAACTCAGGACCTTTGGAAGAGCAGGCAATGCTCTTAACCACTGAGCCATCTCTCCAGCCCCTCCCACTTGTATTTTCAACTGCAGGAGGACACATGGCAGTGGCTGGGAAGTGCTAAGCGTTGACAGAAGCCACATTAACTTTAGCAAATGTTTAATGGACTGTGTTCAAGCGCTAGCGAGTGAATGGCTAACTGCAGGATTCGAGGACCACAGTCTGCAGCCTGAGAAGTCTCAGCTTCTCATTCAGAACATTTTCACACTGTGTTTTGTTCCTGAAACATCAAATGGGTGTACGTTTTTGAGAGTTGATTTATTACTCAAAGATCTGAATTTGGAGACAGAAGAAACACGTTTTACCTACATATTTTTGAAAACTCTACCAAGAAAAAGAAACCCAGCGTCAGTTTCCAGCAGGTGGGACATTCTCGTGGAGACATTGCAAGGCCAGATCCGTCCACTTCATCTCCTGTTCTTTCACAGACTCTGTGGTGCCACCATTGTCCTGCTCAGGCTCTGGAAGCTCACTCTGAAAGGGAAGGACACCCACGGCAACCATCAGAAAATTTCTTTCTGTTTAGTTCTGAGATGGGTCTCACGTAGCCCAGGCTGACCTCAAATTCACTATGTCATCTTCTGTATGGCTTTCGCGCTGGTAAGGACTGAGCTCAGGGGCCTCGTGCGTGCTGCACAAGCATCTTACCACCACGCCACACTCCCAGCCAATCACCTTGAACTCTATCCTATCTTCCTTTGCCTTCCAGGAGCTGGAATTACAGGTGTGGACCTGGGGTTGAATATTTACTTCTGAAAACACAAGAGCACTAGAAACTAAAGCCCAGGGGGTCCTAAGAACAGCCTGCATAACCGATATGCACAGTCTAAAGAAAGAGTCAGAATAAACAGATGTATGGAAAATACCAGAGGTTCTGTTCAGCGTTGCTCGCTTCCCCATATGGAATATGTGACTCTGGTTTTCTTACAAAAGGCAGTGTGGCAAAAGGGCTAAGGGTAGGGACTGGAGGAGTCCCAGACTGCCATTCATTCATTCGCTGGCTTATTTGGAAGAGATAATTCATTCGCTGGCTTATTTGGAAGAGATAATTCAAACTCATGGGGCCTTTGTTTCCCATCTCACAAATGGAAGAAAAAATTAGCTTTTTTCACATCTCAGGCCTTGGTAAAGATAGAATGAGGACATTTAGATCCAGTACTTAGCACTGCGTTGGGTGTCTGGTGTTCTAAGACACTAGGATGAACACTGACAACAGCCAATGCTGAACCTTTCTGGAAATGCAGTAAAGGCAAACCAGATTTGCTGGAATGTGTTTTTAAATATAACAAATGTATCAACAACAAAAACAACAACAAGGGCTGGAGAGATGGCTCAGTGGTTAAGAGCATTGCCTGCTCTTCCAAAGGTCCTGAGTTCAATTTCCAGCAACCACATGGTGGCTCACAACCATCTGTAATGAGGTCTGGTGCCCTCTTCTGGCCTGCAGGCATATACACAGACAGAAAGAATATTGTATACATAATAAATAAATAAATATTAAAAAAAAAAACAACAACAATGCTGCACTCAAAACGCTTATGTGACAATATGGGCTGGATGAGGGACACTGACAATGTAACAGATGAGACTTCCCCCTACTGGAAAAACACAGTAAAGACTAACACACATCCCACGGGAACACACTAGACAGAATTTGGTATCATTCCCTGATATATGTGAACCTATTACTGCTGAATCTGTGGTTGGCCCCAGGGTTCTCCAATACCGTGTATTTCTGTGCAATCACCTGAAGTTATACTTTGTGTTGACAAACTGCTGCTTAATATTCAGTTGGGCTTTCCCACTGAATACTTATTTATACTATATGGAGGTATTTTTCGCCTTAAAATTATGTTCAACATATAGTAAATGAAATTTATCTATAATACGTACAAATATATTTGAATCGGGACCAGTAAGATGGTTCAGTGGGTAAAGACATTTGCTGCTAAGGCTGATGACCTGAGTTCTACATGGGTGTCATAGCACACAGATGCACACACATGCAAGAAAAACCCTAATGTGTTTGCATCACTTGCATCTATTTTACAAATGTAAATTGAGATTTAACATTCCATATATAGTTCCAGAGAACTGTTACTCTCTAGTCAATTTAGAAATCTGACCTTAATAATTATCTACAGGTCACAAAGAATAAACAGGCCCTTGGTTAAGAACTACTAAATCCAAGAGGTAGGACACTGCTTTAATTTCATTTCCTCCAAGAGTGTGACAGGCTTCCTAAAATGATGGATCCTTCACCTGGTGACTAATATTTCTTGTAATGAACACACCATGTGACACAGCACAATGCTGTGGACCTACTTCCCGAAAGACAAATCTGAACATGGCAGCCTCATGCCGCAGCCTTTTCTTCCATCCCTAGATCCCTAGAGAAGGCCTAAGGGGGGCACAAACACCCTCTCAAAAGCTGTGCCCAACTTCCTGCCTCCTAACTACAAACGTAATTGCTGCCCACTGCTTCACCATCTCCCACCATGTTTCAGAACTCTATGCCAGTCACACGCCTCTCCTCTCTGCGGTATTATCCTATCTAGCACTAAACTTCTGGGCTCCAAAGCTACACAGAGAAAGTCTGTCTTGAAAAACCAAAAATACAAACCAAAGCAAACCAAACCAAACTTCTGGTTCTTTCTTAAGCATTACATCTTCCCTGAAGCATTTCTGCTGCATACCCAGGCCCCCAGCCATTCTCCGCTTGGCTATTCATTCCCCCTGGTTGGTACTGTAGTTACTCAGCATCTTGTCTCTCTTGATCCCTGACCCCAAACAGGAACTTTATCTTATACTCAGATAATCTTAGGGCACACAGTAGACTTTAGAGAAGTGATTGTTGGATAGGTAGAAGGACAGACAGACTTGCAGACTGACGCATGAAGTCTGAGACTAGTCTTGGGTCAAGCGTGCCTCTCTGACCCTACTTTTTTCCTGCCAAATGGAGACACCACCACCTCCTCTGTGTGACTGTCTTAAGGATTACAGAAAATGGAAGCTTTAACTTCAGTCTATGGCTTAAAACTGACAATAAACAACAGCTACAATTCTTTTTTCTTATTTTATTGCCCTGAACTTGAACTAAGCTGTGACTTAAATATTCACTGGACACATCACCACCTTTTATTCTTGAAGGAGAGTGCAGGTGAGCTGAGTATTTTCTTTGTAAAACAGCAGCGGCAGGCAGTGCCCCTGGAAGTCACTCTGGGCTCGCTGCTCTTCTAGCGCTGTGCAGAGAAAGTTCTCAGGCTCTGTTTTTCCTTGTCCTTTGTTAAGAGCCTGTGACATCAGTAAGAGTTTTATAAAACATCTACATAGGGCGTTGGTGGCACACACCTTTAATCCCAGCACTTGGGAGGCAGAGGCAGGCAGATCTCTGAGTTTAAGTCCATCCTGGTCTACAGAGTAAGTTCCAGGACAACCAGGGCTACACACAAACACACACACACACCCTGTCTCAGAAAACAAAAACATACATAAATAAAGTGAGGGATCACTTATCACAAAAGGTTCAACAATTGCTCTTCAAGGGAGTTTTCCAGAGACCAGCAAAGAAAAGGTATTCTGAGAGGTTGGATGTGTAAAGGCCAAAGCTTGGTAGCTTCTAAGCACCTCTTGGAAGCTGGCCTACGTGTGTACACTATTTTCAGAATTGCCAACCAAGGGCCCAAAAGACAGCTCAATGGTTAAGAGCTCATACTGGTCTTGCAGAGAAAAGAGTTTGGTTTTCAGTACCTACTTTGGGTGACTCACAACTGCCTTTAACTCCAGCTCCATGGGGTCCAACATCCTCTTCTGGCCTCTGAGGGTACCTGTACTTAACATGTCTCTTCTCCTCCTCTCCCCAGATACCCAAACACACACAAATAGAAATAGGCGGGGAGGGGGTGGGGAACGGCTCATCATCTACTGCTATACTGCCCTTTCAGAGGATCAAGGTTTGGTTCCCTGCACCTATGTCAGGTGACTTTTAACCTCCAGCTCAAGGGATTTGATGCCCTCTTCTGTCGTCCTTCCCACCTGCACATCAGGGGCAGACATTCTCTCACACACACATATATATATTCATAAATAAAAACAAAATAAATCTTAAAACCAAACCAAAGACCAACAAACCAGAAGGGAAGTGAGGACACACATGCTCCTTGCTCCTCTGTGCGTGATGCACTGAACTTGAAAGTGAGGACACACAAGCTCCTTGCTCCTCTGTGCGTGATGCACTAAACTAGTGAAGCGGGGACACACATGCTCCTTGTTCCTCTGTGAGTGATGCACTAAACTAGGGAAGCAGGGACACACATGCTCCTTGCTCCTCTATGCATGATGCACTGAACTCATGCTTGGCTCACCTTGGCTTTGGGTGACTCATGCTTGGCTCCGAGAATCTGGGCTGCAGCCCTGGAATGACCCTAACTAAGGTGGTTACACCAGCCCGTTCTCTGAGCCACGAAGAGACGAACTAGCTATTTTCCAGAGGCTTCTAGATTTAGGGGACGCCACAGCACGAATTTCTGGGCCCTGGTACTTCACCTTCCAGTAGCGTCCACAAGACCTCACCACATTATATCTCTGACTCGTTGTCCCGAGCTCGGATCCCAACCTACCAGTGGGATCGCGACGTCCTCGTACGGCAGCTTGTCTTCCCGCCAAGCATCATCAATCAAATCCAAGATCCTTCCATCTCGCTGCACCTCGCTGTCCATTCTCCTGCAGCTTTGTTCTCGTCAGTTCTGTAAGCCAAAGAGGTCATAATGAGGGCACAGTATAATCCAGGACCAGGATTCCCCAAATTTTAAAGCTTGAAATTAGTTTTGTTGTGGTTTGTTTTGTTTCTTAATACCATCCCAGGAAAGGCCCATTTTATATGGGTCATGTGACAACATAAAAGACCACAGTTCTTTCCTCACTTCACTGACAGATTCTTGATCGTGTATAGACACGGTCTAGTTGGCAGACAAGCTCCTAGTGTAACAGAGAGCAACACATTTCTGAAAATAGCCCTGAAAGGCACTGCATCTAAATGTAGCCTTCTTTACATCATATACAATCTTTCCCTGTTTGTAGTGTTTTTGTTGAGTCTCATCTCTTGCTCCTTAAGCCCTCCCCCATTATTTGGTACAAATCTCCACCTGCCTTGGCTCAAACCTTGGCATTCTTAAGGCACGGAAGCTATGGGAACATGCAGGGTGACATTGAGCTGGAATGTGTGAAGTGACTAGCCATAGACCAACTGCTAACCCTTAACGCAGGAACAATATGGGCGTGCCACGGAAACACTTCCTTTCTTAAACAGCGTCCAGACTGAGCTCTGAACGTAGTATGCCATGATCAATGGTGGGAGCTCCAGATTGTGTGTCCCTCTGGGCTTCCACTTCATACAGGGCTTCTCTGTATAGCCCTAACTGTCCTGGAACTCACTCTGTAGACCAGGCTGGCCTTGAACTCAGAGATCCACCTGCCTCTGCCTCCTGAGTCCTGGGATTAAATGTGTGCACCTCCACCCACCTGGCCCTCCTCCTCTTTTTTTGAGTCAGAGTTTCAAACTCTCTCCATAGCCAAAATCAGCCTTAAGCTCCTAATTCCCCCGCCAATGGGATGACAGGCATGTGTCACCAAGGTACTGGGAATTGAACCCAGGGCTCTGTATAAACTAGGGAAGGCCCCTACCAACTGACCTACATCCCCAGCTGAGGGAGTTCTGCAGGTGTTCAGGCAGGGAAGCAAACTGTGAGGAAGCTAGAATGAAAACAGGGTTCAGATTGACTTTGTCAACTTGGATCACACTTGGGGAGTCTGATGTCAGGTAGTTTATTCCAAACAAATTTAAACACAGTATAATTTGGAAAAAGTTACCTGGTGTAATACAATCCCCAGTGCATAAAAAAGCGTAATTACAACAAAACTTAACTCAGGGTACATGCCATCTCTTCCAAGAAGATGGTTTCTAGAGATAGGCACCTGTACTAGCTTAAGGGCCTAAGCAAGGGTCTGGTCAGGTCTTGGTCTCAGTCAAACAGATAGCACAGAGGCCCTCTGGACTATTAACCACCTCTGGTCTTGGCTGTGGGAGTTTGGGGGAGTCTCTGGTTATACAGTATTGTAAGGGTTATTTAGATCATTTCTCCAGTCCTGGTTGTGCGAGCTTGATATGGCTTGACCCAACAGATTATCACAGATCACTAGGCTATTAGTTACTTTCAATTCCCAGCTTTCTGGATGGAAGAACAGGTTTTCCATTTTTCCCACTGGAAAGACAATCCTGTATGATGAACATTTCCTAGTCTCCCTGGAGATCTGTGGGTGCAAGGACCTTCATGTTGTGCTCCCAACACCCAACCCTCTTCCTCCAAAAAAAGAAAAAAAAAACTACATTTCTTTGTGTATGTACATGTGGAAGTCAAAGGACATCTCGGAGTAAATGGTTCCCTTCCTCCACCAGGTGGGTCCCAGAGGTAGAACTCAGCTGCCAGGCTTCGCTGTCCTTTATGCCACTGAGTCACATTGCTGGCCCGCCTCAGGGCCTGGCCCAGTGCTCCCTGACCATAGACCACTCCTAATTTTTCTCCTGGAACAGTGGCAATCTAATTCACAAGACTGGTCATCATGGAGTACTTCTGAGTTTCCAGCTTCCAAGTTTGTTCCTTTCCACAAAGATGCCCTACTGTACTCCCTGCTACAAAGTGGCAACCCACAGAAGGCCAGAAACTACCACCACCAGTTTAAGAAACAATGTAAGAAACAACCTTTGGTATTGTAGTTTAACTCTGCCATACAAGTATGCACTTGACTCCAACAGTACTTGAGGCAAGCAAGCAAGCACTATCTGGTTTGGGGGTGGGGAATGGCTTTTACTTTCAAAACTTACACAGAAGGGGCCTGGGAGACAATTCAGTGGGTGAAGTGCTAGCAAGAATACCCCAGTTCAGATCGCTGGCACCCACATAAAAAGCCTGGCACAGTAGCACACACTTGTGAAGTAGCACACACTTCCCAGAGCTGGGAAGCAGAGACAGGAGGATTTCTGGGAGATGGCCAGGCCAGGAAGTCTAGCTGAATCGGAAAGCTCCAGATTTAGTGAAAGAGTCAAGGTGGAAGTTTTAGCGGACAACACTGCTGTTGACCTCTGGCCTCTACACTTACCCCCCACTCCACCTCCAGGCACGAACCTCCACCACCATTAGCTTCTCTTGCCACCTAGGTACCAGGTGACAGCTTAGCATTTTTTTTTTTACTTAGATTTCACTGCATCTAGCCAGTGGCTAAAGCAAAGCTAGCTGAAGGATTCCCATCTGCAGTAGTGTATAACGAATACTTCTTGTCAGTTCTAGTTATACTTCCAGAATTCCCCAGGTTTCCCTACTTTCCTATCATTCCTTTGTTCTTGGAGCTGTGCCGTGGGCTACACTTCCCGCTTGCTCTGTTGATCTGACCCGGTCTCTATATATTGCACCCTTTTCTTAAGCGGTCTGACCCCTCTAGCTTTAGGAGGCTTTCTGTCCTCGAAGGCTTGCTGCTGTTCTTAACTAATCTAGGAAACAAATCAGGTCAGCTTCGGACTGGTGGGTAGGGTACTTCTGTTTCAGCGGTAAAGTGTAAACGCTGTACCAATGATCCCAGTCTTTCCACAAGTTGGCCTCAGTATTTTGTAACATGTCCCTCTTCTACACGCTTGCAATCTGGCATGCTTTTCATCCACCTCCTGCACTTCATCAGTAATGCTTGGCCGTCCTTCCAAGCACAACACGGATGACTGATCTTTGGGTGAGGCACTCGGGTACTCCCCTTTTACATGAACAAAGAAGCAAGCACAGACAAAGCCCAGGCAACCACCACTGCGTCGAGCTCTTACCGCACATCCTAACTTCTCCGGGTTTCTTAAACATATTTTTACATACGTACCCTTCTCTTTCTAGCGCCCACCCCCACACCCGATAACACAAAACTCTCATCTCTGAGGTTGTCTCCTTTAGACTCAGGCTGAACGCAGTTCCAAGAGCCCATCTCTTCACCAGTCCCCTAGATCTCTGGGCACAAAACGTGATAACAGGGAAGCTTGTCACACTGTCAAGATCTCTCTTTTCAGATATTAGACACATAATATACATTTTTTCGAAATCTACAGTTTTCTAGATGTATTTCTAAGGTAAAAAGCACGGCACCGGCACTAAAATTGGCCCTCACAGGCCACCATCCTGGGCCACTAGACGCAAAGCCACCCGCCGCCGCCGCTTCCGGCCCGAAGGCTGGAGATACCATATGCGGAAGTGCATAGGGGAGGTGGAGCGTCGCCCTGCCGGGTCCCTTCCACTCCGCGCGGCGTGCAATAAGGAAGTGGCTCTGAAGGTCGGTCGAGAGCACCTGCCTGCGTGTCTGGAAGCACTGGACGCCTGAAGCCTAGGGCAAACGCTTGGTCACCCTCCAAAACCCGGGCCGCTGGCGCGAAAGTCACCCTTACCCACAGCGCGCGAAACGGCTCTCTCTCGGCCCCGCCCCTCCTCTGGGTCACGTGACGCACGGCGCGCTCGTACGCCGTACGCAGGTGAGTCCGTTCGCTGCCGTGGGGAGGGGGCGGGACGAGCGTCCATTTGTTGTGACGCGCGCGCGCCCCCAAGGAACGGCGCGCAGGCCCGGCGGGGGCGCGCTCGGCCGGGGGCGTGCTTTGT